AGATAGATAGATAGATAGATAGATAGATAGATAGATAGATAGATAGAAAGAAAGAAATAATCAACAACAAAAAATTGATCACAGGTTTGATGTTCTTAAAGAAAATGGTTCAAACGACACTTTGTTTGCTTGTTTGTTTGTCATTTTTATTCATTTCATATTTAAAACACAAAAACAATTTAGAAACCAAATGAAAAGAAAAATCACATCATAAAATGAAAGGTAGCAGAAGGGAAAAAAATCTTATCATATCTGCCCCTTGTTTAAAACAAAATCAATTCAAACAATCAATTCAAACAATAATCATCTATAAGTAATATAACAAAATAAATAACTCATCACAATTTTACGTATTTATATGTATCTTTCCAAAATTTTAATCTTAATCATTTTCTTAAATATAGGCATTGACTTTACTTTTTTTACATCGTTTTCCAAACTATTCCACAGACCTATTCCCTGAATTGAAGTAGACCGCCCCTTTAAACTGGTTCTGTACTGTGGTTTAACAAAAATGTCTGTTCCCTTAAGATTATAGCAACTTTTCCTTTTTACAAAATACGTTTGAATGTTTGAAGGTAGTGTGTAGTTCTGAGCTTTATACAGTACTAAAAGAATATTATAGTTAACCAAATCATAAAACGTCAGTAATTTCAATTGATAAAATAAAATACTAGATGGATGACAATAATGCTTTCTTGTGATAATTCTTATAGCTCTTTTCTGCAAAATAAAAATAGGCTTTGTTTATAGTTTTACATGCTGTTCCCCAAACATCAACACAATAAATTAAATGCGGGACTATAATTGTATTATACAGCAAATACAAGGCTTTATCATTCAGTAAGTCCCTTACTTTATACAGTACTGCGGTGGATTTAGATATTTTAGTTTTTACAGAATTTATGTGCTGTTTCCATGACAGTTTATCATCAATAATTACACCCAAAATCTTCACCTCACCTACTCTGCATATCTCAACACCATCAACTCTAAAAGGAACATCGACAGTTATCTTTTTTTTTTTTTACTAAATATCATATAATTAGTTTTATCAAGGTTCAATGATAACTTGTTTAATTTAAACCAATTTTGTATTTTGACAAACTCCATCTTCATCAACTCAAACATCTGTTCCAAGTCTTTACCCAAATAAAAGAAAGTGGTATCATCAGCAAAGAGGACACATTTAAGGATACTGGACACCTCCGTCAAATCATTTATATACAAAATAAACAACTTAGGTCCAAGTACAGAGCCTTGTGGCACTCCACATGAAATACTGCTTAGGTTAGATCTTACTTCGTCTATTTGTACAAACTGTTTTCTGTCTTTTAAATAACTACATATCCACTGCAAAGCTGGTCCTCTAATACCATATTTTTTTTATTTATCAATCAGAATGGTGTGGTCAATTGTGTCAAATGCTTTTTTTAATCCACAAATATACTTATACAATGTTGTTTTTGATCTATAGCTGTAGTAACTTGTTCCATCAACTCCATAAGAGCCATGGATGTTGAGTTTTTTGATCTGAACCCATATTGACTATTACTTAAAATATTATTTTTTATCAAGAAATAGGTCAAATTTGGTCACAATTTTTTTTTCTAGAATTTTTGAGAATTGTGGCAACAAAGATATAGGTCTGTAGTTGTTAAATACACATTTGTCACCATGTTTAAAAAGAGGAACTACCTTAGCTATTTTCATTCTGTCTGGGAATATTCCTGTTGAAAATAACAAATAACATATATATGTAAATGGCTCAATAACATGACTTATTATTTCTTTTACAACCATCATATCCATGTCTTCACAGTCTTTTGATCTTTTGTCAGTAAATTTTTTAACTACCTTCATTATTTCTTCTTTGTCAGTTCCCTTTAGAAACATACTGTTAACACAATCACCGATTAAATAACACATTTTTATCCACTTTTGGTATTGAATTTGCAAGGTTAGATCCAACATTTACAAAGTAATCATTAAATTAATTTACGATTTCATTTTCATCATGGATTTCCACATTATTTTCCACAAAATATTGAGAAAGAGCCGTACTAACCTTATGTTTTTTCAGAACACTGTTCATTACTCGCTATGTTGCCTTCATATCACCACTACTTTTATGTAATAACTCACATTCCCTCTTTTGTTTTCTTATGATCCCAACTAATTTATTTTTGTACTTTTTATATTTATTTTCTGCCTCATGTGTTCTGGATTTCAAGAAACATGAATACAGATCATTCTTTTTTTTACATGCATTTCTCAATCCTTTCGTAATCCATGGTTGATCAACAGTATCTTTCTTTATATAATTATTTTGCACACGATTTTTTTTTATACAAAACATCTAGGATGTTCATAAACTTATCATAAGATTTGTTCACTTCATCAATTTTCTTAAATATAGGCATTGACTTTCCTTTTTTTAAATCCTTTTTTTTTTTTACATTTTACACATCTTCCCAATTTTGTTTATCTAAATCATCTTTAAATTTGTCTAATGCTTTTTTGGATGTGTTTCTTATTTTATTCTTTCTTATAATTGGTTTTATATAAATTTCATCATTTTTGTAAATTGTAAAAATTGGTAAATGATCACTTAAATCAGTCATCAGAATACCACCTATCACATCACCATCTGTGATATTTATAAAAATATTATCTATTACTGTAGCACTATGTGTTGTGATTCTCGTTGGATTTGATAACAACGGGAAAAAACTCAAACTATACATTGAATCCATAAATGTACTGATGTTATATGAATCAGTTATATTCCCTAGATCAATATTAAAATCTCCACACAAAAAAACTTTTTTATTACAACTCTTAACCAATAACACTTAAAGGTGGAATAAGTGGGAGACAAAAAATGGTAAATGTTTGAACATTTACAACTTTTGACTGATGTCTTCTTGTCTAGGGCAGCACGATGACGCAACTGGTAGAGCTGCTGCCTCTCAGCGAGCAGGTCCCTGGTTCAAATCCCAGCTGGGGGCCTTTCTGGGTGGAGTTTGTATGTTCTCTCCGTGCATGTGTGGGTTTTCTCCGGGTGCTCTGGTTTCCTCCCACTGATCAAAAACATGCATGTTAGGCTGAATGGCAACTCTAAATTGTCCCTAGGTGTGAGTGAGAGAGTGAATGGTTGTTTGTCTCGTTTGTCTCTATGTGGCCCTGTGATGGACTTGCAACCTGTCCAGGGTGTACCGCTCCCCTCTCACAGTGATCACTGGACATGGGCACCGGAGACCCCCGTGACCCAAAATGGAAGAAGCAGGTAAAAGATAATGGATGGATGGACTTCTTTTCTAAATGTTTGACTGTGAGGAACCAGTGACAGCCCTACCAATACCGCTTCCCATCTATTTGTCCATCTAGCATTATCTTTATCCACTGCTTCTTTTTCGGGCCGCAGGGGTCACTGGTGCCCATATCCAGCAGTCACTGTGCGAGAGGCGGGGGACACCCTGGACAGGTCTCCAGTCCATCACAGGGACACAGAGACAAAAAAACCATTCACTCTCTCACTCACACATAGAGACAATTTAGAGTTACCAATCAGACGAACATGCATGTTTTTGATCTGTGGGAGGAAAGTGGAGTACCCTGAGAAAACCCACACATGCACAGAGAGAACATGCAAACTCCACCCAGAAAGGTCCCCGGATTTGAACCAGGGTGACCTGCTCGCCGAGAAGCAACTTCCAGTTCCTTGTTTGATTTAATTATTAAAAGTGAGTGGGGCAAGTCCATTTAAAATCTTAACTATAAAACAAGCATAGTTAAAATAAAGTTCTAAAAATTCAATTAAAAATATACTGTGAGTGACATTTTGTCAAACACTTTTAGGGCTTTCTTAAAATGTGTTTTTAGTATTTTAAAAATTGACCTATTTGTGAATTACTAATTAAAGATAGAATAATTGATGAGAATAAATATATATATATATAAACATATTTACTGGTACGTCCTGGCAAATATGGTTTTGATTTAAATATGAAATTTAACAATGTTGACTGCTTTTCTAATATGTTTTAATGGATAATATATAGTACAAATCAATCCAAGGATGTTCTGATGTAAGCTCAATCATCCAGGTAAATGAATCACAAAAAATGTTAAATCATGTAATCTGGGCTGATTCTTCTATTTTTTTTTTTTTTTTTTAATCCAAGGATGGTTAAATTCAATGTAACTCCGCCTTCTCAGAACTCCACTCCATCCGCTGGCGTCTAAATGGAGCAGACCCCAAATTACCTACACACACCCTTTTAATCTATGTGGTTGTTCTGCTGCCTTCAAAAAACTCGTAAATAATTTATATTCTCGGTGGTTAAAAAAAGACAAAAATATATGTTTTGTTTTAAGGAGATCCTTTATTTATACACTTTAGTCTCACGGAATCCTGACGACTCATTTTCAAGAGAGACCTGTTTTATACAGGTATCATTTAAAGTACAGAACAATAATTCAACAAAAAGCAATTAAAATTTGAAATTTGAAATTAATTCTCGTGATTTCATGGCATTTTCTTATTTGGAGCCTACAAAATAAATATATCTAATCAAATATTTCTTCTCACTAGTTAAAACCAACAACAAAAAAATTGTAGTCCCAGGTTTTTTACAGTGCTTCATTCTTCTTTTGTAAAAAAGGTTATGTTTTATTCTCTTGTGTTAATCTTGGGCCAAAAAATAATTTAGTTTTGTAAAATATTTCTCTAACAGAAATTTTCACGTTGAACGGAGTAGTATAAAAAGTACAACTTTCTGTTAGGTCCCTGAAAGCAGCTCAGCGTCTTTCAGCCCTATTTGGCTCCTCCCTCTTCTCTCAGACATCGGTTTAGTAGTGTAGCATATCATGTCTCGTCTGTGTTTATGTTTATGAAAAAGAGGTGTTTAGTTTGAATTTAACAACATTGGAAACATCTCAGCTTTTCTTTTAACCACTGGACTCAGTTTAAGGTACGTTGTTTTGCGTGTTTCACCGGCTTTGTTGGTTCCTTTACCGAATTTTTCCTAATAACCATTTAGCATCCATCTTGGTTGGTAATTAACCAACCGTAGGTACGAATAGTTAGCGCTTTGTAGCCTTTGAACACAGTGTTTAAAAGGCTTATAACTTTTTCGTACTAAATATTAAATTTTTTGATAAAAAATAAATAAATAAAAGCATGTTATTTCCCACTATTAAAACAGGAGGTAATAGGAGTTAAGGTACCAGTAGCTGTAATGTATCTAGGAATGAAATGAAGGAAAACTATATGTTGAGAGAAATTAGCACATTAGTTTGTTCAGATGTGTCACATTTATCATTGTAGGACTATTTAAACATGTTTAAATGCTGTAGTTTGTGGGAACAAGGGAAGAAAAGTTATCTGGATGGACACCTAAATTAGTGTAGTTTCCTTGTTGCAAAATTAAAAAAATAAAAGTTTTTAATTTGATTTTCAGATATTTGGCATATTTGAGAGTGAGACAATTCCTGAGGAATGTAAGAAAAGTGTGCTGGTGCCCATTTTTAAGAACAAGGGTGATGTACAGAGTTGTAACAACTACAGGGGAATGAAGATCTGGGAGAGAATTGTGGAAGCTATACGTAATTAAATTCAGTTTAACTATATAGCACCAAGTCACAACAGAAGTCATCTCAGGGCACTGAACAGAACTATTCATATATAAAAAATAATAAGTTAACAAAAACATTCATAAAAAAATAATAATTTAAGACTATTTATCTGAGGAGCAGACTGCTTTGACAGAACTCTCATCTTGAGTAAGCACGAAGGTGACAGTGGAAAGGAAAAACTCCCCCATGAGGAAACCTTCAGCAGAACCAGGCTCAGGACAAGCGGTCATCTGCTTCGACTGGCTGAGTTTGAGAGGAACAGATACACAATGGCAGGTCAAGAATCACATGTTAAGATAGAAATAGTATCAAATGAGAACTATTCAATTTTAACAATTGATTTAAGGAAATGAGGTCAATTTGTCCTCTAGTAGTCTAAGCCTATTGCAGCATAACAAGCCAACCCTAACTATAGGATTTATCAAAAAGGAAAATCTTTAGCCCAGTCTTAAAACTGGACAATGTGTCAGCCTTATGGACAGAAACTGGAAGTCAGTTCCACAAGAGCGGAGCCTGTCTCCTCCAGGCTCCACTACTGCAACTCCCTGTTTACTGGAATCCTGCAGGCAAAAAACTTCAGAAGCTTAAATATATTCAAAACAGTGCAGCCAGGATTTTATTGAGAGCTCGTAAATTTGAACATATTACCCATTTTCCATAACCTCCATTGGCTTCCTGTCACCTACAGAATTCAGTACCAAATTGCTCTCATTACCCATCAATGTTTAAACGGAACTTCACCAGATTATCTGAAGGACCTTCTTGCTCCATATTCATTCACCTGGCCCCTACGATCACAGGGTAGTAATCTCCTCCACCTTCCATGAACTAAATTAAGGACCAAGGGAGATTGGGCATTCTGTGTCAACAAAGGGTGTCAACAAAGGTCAAAGGAAATGTTTACTAGACAGTGGTGAAACCAGCTATGTTGTATGGTCTGGAGACAGTGGCATTGACAAAAAGACAGGAGAAAGAACTGGAAGTGGCAAAAATGAATATGTTGAGGTTCTCCTTAGGATTGACAAGGCTGGATAAGATGAGGAATTAGATCATCAGAGGTACAGCACAAGTTGAACAACTGGGAGATAAAGTTAGAGAGGCCAGACTGAGATGGTTTGGACATGTCCAGAGGAGGGACAGTGGGTATATTGGTAGAAGGATGTTAGACATGCAGCTACCAAGAAAAAGACAAAGAGGAGATATCTGGAATGAAGTTAGAGAGGACATGGAGGTAGTTGGAGTGAGGACAGTGGATGCAGAGGACAGAATGAGATGGAGGAGGATGACTCGCTGTGGTGGCTCCTGAAGAGGGAATAGCCAAAAGAAGAAGAATTTGATTCTCAGATATTTATCACACGGTGACACAGTTGGTAGTATTTCCACCTCTCAGTGAGAAGATGGCTGGCTCAAATCCTGGCTGTTCTTTTCTGTGTGGAGTTTGCATGTCCTCTTTGTGCATGTGTGGGTTTTCTCCAGGTCCTCCGTTCTCCTTCACAAGACTCCAAACATGCATGTCAGACTAATTGTAACTCTCTGATTGTGTCCCTGTGATGGACTTGCGACCTGTCCAGAGTGGACCTTGCCCCTCACACATTGACTGCTGATATGGGCACCAGTGACTCCCAAGACCCAGAAAGAAAGAAATGGGTAAAGATAATGGATGGATGTACATCTGCAAGTGATTAACCTTTAGAGCCAGCAATGTTCAAGATAGCTGCCACAAAAATAACAATAACCCTGTCAGTTCTTCAGATAGTTAGCTAAAGTTTTATGTGGGAGCTGAGAGTGATACTCAGTATATAATATGAGCTCTCATCAGGGCCGGATTTAGGAGGATGGGGCCCCCTGGGCTGGAGTCAGGATGGGGGCCCTATATATATATATATATATATATATATATATATATATATATATATATATATATATATATATATATATATATATATATACACCCTGATGCTCCTCCCCAATGCATAAGATGCGTCAAAAGTGGACCAATAACAAGCAAGCATTCAAGATGGACGTTTGGAACATTTTTCATTGGTGCTGTCAAAATCATCAGTCATTGATTAAATTCTGACACTGTCCATTCACAAAAACATAAAACATCCTTCGGGGCCCCCGAAATGCCGGGGCCCCGGGCTGCAGCCCCTGTAAGCCCCTGCTAAAATCCGGCCCAGGCTCTCATGACACTGCCTGAGAGTGATACTCAGTATATAATATGAGCTCTCATGACACTGCCTGAGAGTGACAAAAACTGCTACAACTTTGTCATTTCTCATCATTAAATGGGTTGTAGTTTAAAACTGACATAAAAGTTGCTGGGTTGTATGCACTTGTAGGCCTTTGGTTTCATCTGTTTCTGAGCAAATACATTTATCTTTGTGTGCCAAAACAAAAAACACATGGCAGGGTTACATTTTTCCTTAGAACCTCTAACTACAAAGCCTGCTAATTTACCAGGGTGTTTCTCTACATGCTGCAACTTCTGGTATTTGAGTCCACTGAAATTCTCCAGTCCAACTTGTCTGTCAGGTCCAGAAATAAAAAAAAATGATAAAAACATTTTGGATAAATGTCATTTGAGGAAGTTGTTTCAAATGTGACACTGAGATCAGTAACCGTGACTATGTTTATTTTAATCTAAGTGATAATTAATTTTAAAAGAACAGCTGCACAAACACTTTTGCTACCTTAATTTTATGAGTTTCCGTCTTTAATTTTCTTCATAGCTTTTATTTTAATCTCAATGTTTGTTGTGTTTTTGATAAATACAGCGGTCTGCATACATGTTTAGAGCAACAATAATCATCACAGGTCGAACAAAATGAACATGGAGAAACATTTTCAGCTATGAATAGCAAAACAAAATGTTAAAATCTGTGTCAGACTTAACACAGTCTACAATTTACTGCTCATTTAATATGCATCTCATGCAAGATTCAATATGTTCCATCGACTGCATTAATAAGTGAAATGAACCCATGTGGCACTGGATTGATAAATGATTAGGTTATTTTTTTGGTGGATTCAGTACAAAGGTTGCTCACTGCAGTAGTAAAACAAAAAGCATTCATTCTTTGTCCTTCATTAATTATTTATTAACTGAAAGGCTGCAGAACTTGAAATTGTCAAGAAAAGTTAAAGCTCAACCCAATAAAGTACATTTGAACCTTTTACTTGTTCTACTGCAGGAGCTCTCCAGCAGGACTTCATAATGGACCTTTTCCACTAACGCCTCTACAGCATGGTTCGACTTGGTTCTGCACGTATCCTGATACATGCTCAATAATCCAGGTAGAAAAATCCAAAAAAGTTCAATCTGGTCTTCTGGACATTCAAAAAACAAGAAAACAAACAAAAAAAAAACAAAGCAAAGCAAAAAAAAACATGTAGAAACGTTTCGTCTCTCATCCGAGAGACTTCCTCAGTCTGAGGAGCTGTATTCAGCTCAGTCTCTTAAATAGCACCTTCTCAGAGTGGATCAACCAGTTTGCTGCTGACAACTAAAACCAGCTGCTCACATGGTCAAGAAGGACCATCAGCCTAACAATGGATCATTAGCACACTGATGGCTGTTTACTATTCACAGGGGGTTGAGTGATACTAGCAATCACAGCATTGTAAGAGGGGGACATTTGAACCCGGAGGCCTCCACCCCTGTTTAATGATGGACGATTTTTTTTCACAAAGATGGCCTCCTTTACTCCTCTCATCGTTCCTCTCTGTCCAGTATGTGAACATCTTCATCCCTGAAAGAGTGACCGCTGGCCTGGAGATGAGTGTAGACCGCAGAGTCCTGGCCTGATGATGTTGATCTTCTGTGCTGGGCCATCCTTTTGGCCAGTGGCTGTTTAGTTTCCCCAATGTAAGACTGATCACAGCCCTCCTGACACTGAACAGCATACACAACATTACTCTGTTTGTGCCGGGGGACTGGATTTTTGGGATGAACCAGTCTTTGCCGTAATCTATTTTGGGGTTTAAAAGCCACTGGGACGTTATGTTTAGAAAATAAACCTCTCAGTTTCTCTGATACTCCCTCAACATACGGAATGACCACTGGTCTGGGTTCCTCCTTTTCACCTGATGGCTGACTGGAGTCCTGTTTGGGTTTCTTCTCTGCCTTCAGGAAGGCCCAGTTAGGATATCCACATTGCTCTAGAGTAGGGGTGCACCGATTTCAATTTTCAGGCCGATCACCGATCACCGATTTTTTGAAAGTCTGAACTGCCGATTCCGATTTTGGCCGATACCGATTTTTTTTTTATAAGCAACAGTGTCAGGTGTTACAAGATCACAATGCACCTTCAATTTACCAATCTTATTTTATTGT